CCCACCATGAATTCGAATTCTGAAGTGACAGGACTTGTTTTCATGTTACATTTTCATGGTGTATCCCAGTTTATGTGTAACTGGAGCCTTACGACACGCTCAGCTGCTGAGGCTATATGGCGTCGCCTGCCGTTCACCCTGGCAAAACGGACGGGCACGGATATCAGGTCAGCAAGGAGTACAACAGATTATTATTTTTTATAGGGACCTAACGCGCAGTAACGCATAGTTCTTTCCGTGTGCAACGGACCGCAGCAGAAGCATTCCTGGCCGTCCATAGATGGACGGCGGATAATTAGTAGCCAGGACAAACACCAGGAAGCAAACAACACAAGGCAAAAAACGAAAGTAACGTGTCTGTGATGGTGCGCTAACAGAAACACAGTGCGTACCGACAACATGCCTGCTTACACCTCGCTTAGCGTATGTCTCAGTGGGCAAAACGCCCGGGGCGCTCTGGTCCGCGTTTAGGAGGCGCACTATCCCACATTGTCCATTTAAACAATGTTCATTGAACAAACATTGTCGCTTTTTTGCTTGTTTTTGTTACGAGACGGTGAACATGTGGTTTTTTTAACACGCGTTAGGTGGTGGGGTCAATTTGACCAGCTCCCAAGGCTTTTCAGAAATAACTTCCGGGCGGTGCGGTGTAGCCGAGTCGATGTTTCTTAAGTTACAGTCAATTAAAGATGAAATCTTATGAGCGAAAAAAATTGACGCGCCTTGTGAGGTAGCTAGCCAATGTCAGGTCAAGGTCAGATCACGGCTGTCAGGGGAGGCAATTCCTGAAGAGCCGCTTAATCTGACGCACCAATAAAGTGTCAGACGAAGCCATGCATCTTTGAGATGGATTCGTAGACAATTAAGCATCTGAATTTAGGATAACGACTGCTTCCACTGACTTTGGATCAGGTGTGAAGGTCAGACTCAAGTTATCAACGAACACCTTTTTTACTAAAGCTCTTCATTCCTTGGGTAGTTTTGGATGCTCAGTTTGAATTTGTTGTAAACCGGGACGTCCATACACATCTTTTTTGGACTTCATGAAAGTTAGAATAGAACGCTGACCTGCAATGAGCCCAACCAATATTTTGTGTTATGGAACATGCGGCCTAGCGTAGACCGTGATGTGACGCGACGATTTCAATTCAAATATCAAAACGATCTCGAAGGTTTTTGGTCACCTGGACTGCGTGAAGGCCAAATAAGGTCTGCTTGATATTAACGCCAGTGAACTTTTGCTTATAAGAGGTAAATAGGATGCAGTTGGTTGTATGGTAACTCTGAGGGCGCTTTGGACACCAGTCTGGGTTTTGACTTTATTTGACCTTATTTCACCTAACGGTCAAAATGTGCAAATCTCCAAGTTTGAACTAAGCCAGTTCACACATAGGTCTACCCACTCTGCGAATTATGTTCATCTAGACCTCTTGAATTTTGATATCCTAGGGTGTCAACTTGACCCCCGCCCAACCGAGCGCGTCACATACAGCCCTCCACCCCGACGCTCGCGAACTGATCTGGTGTGTTCTGTTAATAACGCTGCAACGCACAGTGCACGCCACACCTTAGCTTAAGGAAACATCACTTAGTGCAGATCTAAATTCAGTTTGTCCTGGAACAGCAACAAAGTGCTGTGTTGCTATCTTCCGCTCTTCCACTCCGCCTTGCTAGATGACGTCGCCGCAACGCAGTGGTCCAACAGGCTAACACGTTTCGTAGCACGCCGATGACTCGTCTTTCACAGACCATGGCAGAAATGTACTGTATTAACCTGGAGGAAACACCGGAGTATCTGCATATTTAACTAGATGGCCCTGGGTGGACCCAGTCCTTGTCTTGTGATGCCCCTTTTTAAATGTATAGCGTCCCTAATTTAGGAGCCAGTTCCCCCACATCGCTGTTGTGCCCCGTGCGCCATCGTGTACCTTGGCGCGATTCCGTTGGACTCCGGTGGGACGGCTCAGATTCAGACGCAACTGTGGAACGTCGTGTGTGTGATCCGGAACTGGGAATGCGCGAACGAACAGATAACAAGGCAATCATAGGCAAAGTTACCCTCCAACTAACACTGACTCAGACACTGAGTACATCGTCAAAGAGGACTGTCCAAATATCTCGGATCACTAACGGCTCTCAAAACCTCGAATACGAAGAACACGGGAGAGCCCAAAGAAAACACTAAGGGCAAATGATGAGCAGTGACCTGCACACTCGTTGTCATCCAAGGACGGCATTGGTCACCTTTATAACTCCACTGTGCTACCTTGTTGAGGACAAGCAGCCGGTAATTTTCCTCATGACAAATGTTGCCATGCTTTTTTATGACGGGCCTGATTGTCGATATTGGCTTTTAGGTTAATAGCATCCTCACAAATGCAGGCACAGGGGACCCCAGAAAACAAAGATTTTATTTTGAGAAAGCAAAACCTTGTGGTAGTACCTGCTAAATTTCCCGTGGTAGTATGGGAATACGCGACGTGCGACAGCGATGTGAATTTGAAATGAATCGGCTTTAAAAATTATTAGTCCGTCCCCTCTTAGAACGTTTCATTGACGCTGCGGTTCCGCACGGCATTGCAGAAGGTTTTGGGTAGATGTGTATGGCGGCTAGTGGTCCCTGGTTTGCCAGTTACTACGTCTCGCGGCGTTACAACGGCACGGGCCGCAGGGTCTTCCTTCACTAGACATCTAGCGGGTAATACATAAACTATAACCTTGATATTTCACCACGCCGCATACTGCTTAGAGTCTATCGCGTTTACTACCAAGGTCGATCACCCCTACCCGAAGCGGTGGTGAAGGGAGGGGGTCACAAGGGGCCCGTGCCTATCCCTTAAGTCCCGAGAGGCCTGAAGGTTCCGTGAAGGTAGACTATTAGGTGCCCGCTTTGAGGGCCTCGAAGGAACAGCACGGCTGTACGGAGGTCGTACTAGGGACCCAGCCTGCGGGGCCGGGCCCTCAAGTACCTGTCAGAAAACACTTAATGCCGATTGAGGGTCCCCTGGGTCTATGGAGGCCTTAATATTGGTCAGGTATCACCAGTTCCAAACAGCCGGGTCCGTGATGGTCTCGGTCTCAGAGCTCATTCCAAGCAGAGACAATGCCTGGGATCACGATTTACATTGGTCGGGCCCCTAAGTCACTGTCGGCCCATTGTGTGGTCAGGGTCCACAATACCTAACGGGGGTCCTGTGCCGACAAGGGGCCCTGGGTGGGCCTCCGGCAGTGTTCGAAGGGCCGAAGAGGGGTTCGAAAGGTCCCTGGTAACTGACAATCAAGGGCCTATCTCAGCCCCGAAGGGCCCGAAAGGCTGGCTGTAGGTCACATTAAGTGCCTGGCCGTAGGGCCGGGAAATGTCATACAGAGTGCCTCCTGCGTCAGTTGGGGACCCCTTGGAACAATGTGGGCCTCTATTTCAGCCAGAGACCACCAACAACGACCACCAACAACAACGACCACCAACAGTCGGTTCCATGTCGGCCTGAGCCCCTAAGAGCCCTTTTCGACCAGAAGAAACGGACCAAGACCTGAGCCTGCAATTCCATTGATCGCCCCCCCCCCCCCCAAACAAGGGTTCGGCTGCGTCGGTCAGCGGCCCTCATTGCCTGGCAGGGGCCTTGTGTCGGCAAGAGCACCGTGTCGGCAGGGAAACATTTGGTGAGCAGGGACAGGGACGGCGAAGAAGAAAAGGGACGGGACCCCAAATGCCAGAGGCCATCTTGTACTGGTTCGCACCATGTCGGTCTGAGCCTGGGGGGCCATTTCCGCTCCGTGACACTCTCTGACAATGAAAACCTATGACGCCGACAGTGTGAAAACTTATGATGAGAGTTAACAATGCGTCAATGTAAGGCCCTGTGTCAGTCAGGGTTTCCAGTATCGAAAAAAGGACCCTCCACCCCAGGTCAGCCGAGGGCCCATCAAGCCAAAGTGGAGTCTCTATGCCAATTATTGGATCACCCACGGCGATAATGGATCTTTTTTTGTGTCAATGAGAACCCCTGCGTTGATCCGTAGTCTACTGCCCAGGTCAGAGGCTCTCCCTCATGAGGGAGGGGGCCAATATAGGATACCATTCCTCTAAGGGCTTCCGGATGGACCAGGGGACCCCACTTCCGTGTCGCAGAATAGCAGTCGGTAGGCACCCCGCACTGGGACAGAATGGCCTCTCAGTCCCTGGCCGGGAACGGTTACATGCTCCTCGTGTTCTTTCCACCGAGCCCTTGCCTGAAAGAAATGCAAGGGGTCTCAGCCGTGTCAATAGAGTTGATCCAAATGAGGTCAAAAACGAAAAATGGCTAACTCATGCTTGTCTGAAGAGGTCCATCCTTTTGCAGAATCGACTAACGAAATAAAGACCATAAAAAGTCTTGAGCCTGCGCACTCACAAGCCAAGACACAAGAACACCGATGGCCGGGTTGCAGTTTCCGTCAAACTGAACAGCGCTGGCTGCTAAAGACAGCGCCAAGCGGCGGGGGCCGCGCACGCGAGAACGACTGTCGTGAAATAATGCTTTCAAAAGCCCTACAAAATCGGTTGGTACCGTTCAAAGGTTAGACTGAGGCGTATAATTTACTTGCATAGTTTTGAGACTGTCTTCTGAGCAGATGAACAGCTACAGCAACACAAAAAACGAAGATTAGTCCTTCGTTCTTCCAGCTTCACCACCAGATTCCAGTACCAGTTATGATGCTCTACATGCCAATCCGTTCATTTTGTCGAGCTATTAATAAAACAAAACAAAATCTTATCTTACGGTAGTTTCCGGCTTTTGTTCCAGTTAAAAAACGTAAAATGAAAGTAAAACGAAGAGAATCATACCCCCAAATTAGCTGGGCCATGTCCGGTGATTTCTTTTGCAGCGGGGAGGGGGGGGGGGCGGTCTTTCACCATAAGCGGACACTTTGTCAACCCTGTGACTCCTCCCCTTGCCAATATTTTACCTGTGTCCCCGATCGACAGCCCCCGAGGTCGGCCTCGCCGGAGGACGGCTCACCGTGGTCCAGCAGGGTGGAGAAGAAGGCGTACCGCTGCGGCTGGTCCGGCCGCACCGCCTTGTGGAGGTGCGCCGTGGCCAACGCCGTCTGGTGGTGCTCGGCCAGCCCGGCGTACGGCTGTACGCTGGTCAGCACGACCAGCAGCGGCGCCCAGCGCGGCAGCATGCCCAGCAGACGGTCCAGGCCGGTGCCGACGCGCAGCTGGAGTGCCTCCTCCAGCTCCTCGAGCCGTGGCATGTAAAGCACGGTTGGCGACCGGTGTCGGCCTACGTCATGGATGCGCTCCGAGAGCAGCTGCCGACACAGACTGACGGTCATAGAGCAGCTGCCGACACAGACCGACGGCGACAGAGCAGCTGCCGACACAGGCCGACGGTCATAGAGCAGCAACCGACACAGACCGACGGCGACAGAGCGGCTGCCGACACAGGCCGACGACGATAGAGCAGCTGCTGACACAGACTGACGGTCATAGAGCAGCTGTCGACACAGACCGACGGCGATAGAGCAGCTGCCGACACAGACCGACGGTCATAGAGCAGCTGCCGACACAGACCGACGGCGACAGAGCAGCTGCCGACACAGGCCGACGACGATAGAGCAGCTGCTGACACAGACCGACGGTCATAGAGCAGCTGCCGACACAGGCCGACGGCGATAGAGCAGCTGATGACACAGACCGACGGTCATAGAGCAGCTGCCGACACAGGCTGACGGCGATAGAGCAGCTGCCGACACAGACCGAAAGCAATAGAGCGGCTGCCGACACAAGCACACGGTCATAGAGCAGCTGCCGACACAGACCGACGGCGACAGAGCAGCTGCCGACACAGACCGACGGTCAAGGCGCAGCTGCCGACACAGACCGAAAGCAATAGAGCAGCTGCCGACACAAGCACACGGTCATAGAGCAGCTGCCGACACAGGCCGACGGCAATAGAGCAGCACACAGATCGACAGCGATAGAGCAACTGCCGACATATGCCTACGGCGATAGAACAGCTGCCGGCCACGACCGGTGTCCGCTCATATCACAGACCGGTGCCGGGAGCAGCCTTCGCCACGACCGGCGGCCGTAGAGTGGAGACGAGACAGGGCGCTTACCCGGCCAGGAAATAGATTTGATCCGGCACCTCAGCTGTCCGCGCGGGAAAACATGACTGCCAAAGACGCAGTACGCTATCCGCCACAGGCGTGTTCTATGTTAAACATTCAGTCGACATTGGAACTGGATAAACCGTCAGCCGGCTTCGCAATTAGTAGGGCTTTATCATTTCCCTCAGCGTGATACAAGCTGACATCGCCGAGGTGGCAGGGAGCCCGAGCCACCTCGCAGCTGGGACGCGCGAGCCGTCGGGTGTCGTACCTGCATAACGTCCACGCACGTCAGCGACATGACGTACGCGTCGTCCATGGTCCAGATGTTGCAGTCGGCGAAGGCGGCCAGCACGGACTTGCTCACGTACTCGGCGTCCTCCGGGTACCGCTCGTCCGGGCAGATGAGGACTCGCATTTGTGAGCAGATCTCCCTGCGGCGCAGAGTCCTCCATGTTTGTCCGGCGTCGCATGTTTAGTATCATGCCCGTCATGCGGGGGTTAGAAATATAAAGAAAGCTGACATTGTACCATATGATGCCACGACATTTTCTGGTAATCCTACGGTGTTCCTTTGATGAAGGCTGAGCTATGGAGGAGGCGCATCTAGCCGACTGATCTGACCTGACACCATGTGGTATCTGGATCTGACGGGCGCCGTGCAAACTGGCAAGAACACATATCAAGTAAAAAAACCTACAAATGAACATATGTTGGAATAAGCCGACAGATCCGCCTTCAACAAAGCCCCAGCCCTCCACACGCGAGAGGCACTGCGTCCCGCAGCAATCAGCGAGCTCATCAACCGACATGTGACAGAGCACGTATACTGCCCCTCACCCGCCCCTCCCCCCTCTGCCGCAGCGCGTCTGCAGTCGGCGGTCCAGACGCACCCTCCCCTCCTTCCTCTGCCGCAGCGCGTCTACAGTCGGCGGTCCAGACGCACCCTCCCCTCCTTCCTCTGCTGCAGCGCGTCTGCAGTCGGCGGTCCAGACGCACCCTCCCCTCCTTCCTCTGCCGCAGCGCGTCTACAGTCGGCGGTCCAGACGCACCCGCCCCTTCCTCCTCTGCCGCAGCGTGTCTACAGTCGGCGGTCCAGGCGCACCCGCCCCTTCCTCCTCTGCCGCAGCGCGTCTGCAGTCGGCGGTCCAGGGGCACCCGCCCCTGCCTCCTCTGCCGGAGCGCGTCTACAGTCGGCGGACCGGACGCACCCGCGCTTCACTTTGTTGGGCAGCAGCCAGGGGCAGCGTCTGGAGATGACCTCCACCAGCCGGCAGCGGTCCTGGTCGATGAGCGGCTTCAGGATGTCGGGCACCACCTCGCGCCACTCCTGCATGCTGCGCCCGCCCGACGGACGAAAGCTGGCCAGTGCCGTCTCGTAATGTCGCTTCAGTACCTGCGAGCCGCGAGCGGTCGGCGGAGCTGGCGGCGCTGGACGCGTCCCCCCCCCCCCCTCTCCCCCAGCCGGCACAGGGTGGTGGCTGGCAGTCGTGTGTGCTTTAGGTCAGTTTCAACCTCGGGTCGACATCGTCACCGCTTACTGAACTGGAGCACCAAACACGGGAACTAAGCTGAACGGTCACGTGGTGTCCAGTGACCTGAAATGAACAGCTGGGTATATGCGTATGTATCCTATTGATGATCAGCCTCGGACAGGACTGGGGATAAGGACCACGCATGAATCTTTAAAACAAATACTTCTATACCTTGGATGTCAATATTAGCGGTAAATCGCATTGGTTCTAACGCATCCTGCTCGGCGTTTAGGCGCCGGGAATTGACACGATGGATCCTTCAGCTGAACATGACGCAGCCGCCACCACCCACCTTAACCGTCGGGTCGATGTCGACCCTGACAGCCGTGTTGTAGATGGCCGGGTAGGCCTCCTTGACTGCCGACAGGAACGCCTCGCGGATGAGGAGCGCGATGTCGGCGCCGCAGAAGCCGGACGTGCGCTCTGCCAGCCACGTCACCAGCTCGGAGCAGCCGTCCACGGCGCTGATACGCAGGATCTCCCGCCGGGCCTGCCGGCCGCCGGCGCCCACCGTCACACCCCGCCCCGCCGCCGGCCCGGTCTGCTCGGAGCAGCCGTCCACGGCGCTGATACGCAGGATTTCACGCCGGGCCTGCCGGCCGCCGGCGCTCACCGTCAGACCCGCCCCGCCGCCGGCCGGTCTGCTGGAGCTGGTGCAGACAGCAGGCATGCCGAGGCCACAAATATTGGCTCGTCTTCCGTTGTCATGTCTATCGATTTTATGGCGATTTCGTACCAGAAATGTCAATAGAAACAGAAAGTGATCGAGGTACAACGGAGCGAATACCGTCAGAAGTGAGACAATGGACGCACGTCTTAAAGGCGATAAGCCCGATTTACGCTCTCGTTCCCTGCTAAATTTTACAGCACAGCGACCAAAGCAAGGCTAACGCACTAGTTATGCACTGAACTGACATTATGCCAATTTTTTCAACAAGAATATATTTGAGCTTTGTGACAAACCGAGCCAAAACAGATTTGGCCAGACCTACCCCAGTAAAACAGGACAGCTCCCACACTGACAGGAGACAATCTAGTCTCCGTTCGGGGACATCCAGACACCAGAATGACCCCCTTTGCGCCATGCACCCCGGCATGTGCTCAGCTCAATATTAGAGTGAAGCCGCCGCAGCTTACACCCGTGGAGTTCGGCTTAAGCCGTCACTGGCCTACGCTCCAGCAGCCATGGCCAGCAGGCCTTCTCACCTCCAGGTTGGGAGGCGGGAAGAAGAGCTCGCGGTCGAACCTGCCGGGCCGGCGCAGCGCGCTGTCCAGGGCATCGGGCCGATTCGTCGCCCCAATCACCACCACCTGCCGGCCGAGGGGCACCGCCGCTGACACTGACAGCGGCCGCGCTCGACGCCGCACCGCCCGGCCACCAGGGTCGGCCAGCTCCACCAGTGTCACGGCCGCACTGCGAGCCAACGGCCGAGCCTCCGACTACCACAGCGTCAATATCGGGACATGGCCGCTCAGTGAAAAAAACAGCAGCTCCCGCCGCTTAGATCACGGCCATTGCATGGTTACACGTAGGCCCGCCACTTTCGTGACCCAAGATACATGAAGATGTAAACAGTCCATGTCAGTATTCAGGCCGTGCGGTGAACACTCGTTGCCCTATTTATTCACTCATTCGTGGCACTCACTAATTCGGACACGCCTCAAAGGTACGTACATTATCTATGTACTGCCACGCCAAAGGCACAAATAGATTATCTGTCTCATGTTATCACAGCAGAGCAATTAGTGGTCAAAATATCACGTTGGTACAGAGCGTTTTGCCTGTAAATGCACGCAATGCCAAAACTTGGCTTCATTGTTGATAAAAACCGGAGATGCTGCCAGCGGCGCTCGGAACTGTCCGATAGCCCAGACCAGCGGGCGATCTGAGGAGATGATGCCAGCGGCGCTCGGAACTGTCGATAGCCCAGACCAGCAGGCGGTCTGAAGAGATGCTGCCAGCAGCGCTCGGAACTGCCAACAGCCCAGACCAGCGGGCGATCTGAGGAAATGCTGCCAGCGGCGCTCGGAGCTGTCGATAGCCCAGACCAGCGAGCGATCTGAGGAGATGATGCCAGCGGCACTCGGAATTGTCAATAGCCCAGACCAGCGGGCGATCTGAGGAGATGCTGCCAGTAGCGCTCGGAACTGTCGATAGCCCAGACCAGCGGGCGATCTGAGCAAGCATGTGACATTGCTGACCTGTTGCCGGTCTTCCAGTCCGTCGAGCAGGGTCAGCAAGGCACCCACGATGGTCGTATATACGTGGTCCTGTTGAGAGTTCCGTGCCGGGGCCAGAGCGTCCAGCTCGTCGAAGAAGATCACCGACGGCTGGTTCGCCTTCGCCTGACCGGGTCGGGTTTAGAGGTTGGTGACACGGGAACACAGACTGCACGCGAGGCGGTGATGAGGTGACTAGCAGGAGCGAGACAGGCGTGGTGGGTGGCCCGAGTGGAAACATGGAATCGATGCGCACTTTGGGCGAGACGTTAGCGCATCCATGCAACCTGTATTTGCACGCTGTGTGTTGCACGCATCCACGTCCCGGTGGATGGGGCTGTTAGTAGCCATCTTATGCAGAAACCAGCCACCTCATTAACATGGTGCCAGTCGCGTGATAGCTTCTAGCTAAGAGTCGGATAACATGTCACTTGGAACACGATTTCCAGATTTGTCCTAATAACCCAATGTTGCAGCATCAATTTTAAATTGAATTCATAAATTTAAAGAGTTCTCAAACTGCAGGCACGCAACTGGGCCTCTTATATGAGCGTGTCTGATTATCAAATCTAGAAAGCCTTCAGTTCCAGTTTCCGCAGCCTCTGTTTGTCCAGTTTCAGGTAAAAAGATTCCCATCCATTGTTTTCTCTGATTTTCTCAAACCTGCATATTAGCATATTTGACTGTCCTAAGAGGTGAGATCACAGAGGTCAAGCAGCGTACGCTGCCAATGACCACAGCCAGCCGTAGCGTTCTGCAGCTTTGCTTGCTAGCATGTTAGCGACATACAGCGGGGTGGGCTGAATTGACCTCTCACTGCGACATAGCTAGCAATCAATTTTACGTCAGCTGGTTTGTTGTCGTTAGTTGTTCCATCATTTTCAAATAAACGAAGCTTGCGGCTCGTCGGTAATGACGACTTACCGCCTCAAAAAGGTCCCGAAGATTGGACTCGCTCTCGCCAAACCACTTGGAAAGAATATCTGAACCGCTTCGGGAGTAAAATGTGACCTTCTGCGCACCCTTGCTCAACTCGTGCACCAGCGCCCGAGCCACCAGCGTTTTCCCGGTGCCTGCAAACGACGCGTGTGATAACAGGGTGCAGACAAGTGGCCTCGTGCGCCTCTCTGCCTGCAGAGGCATCCTGCTGAGTCATTGTCATTTCCTCTGCTCTGCTCTAAAAGTTGCATTATATAGGCCAGTTATGCACTAGCATATTGGTGATGGGTCGATCGAGCTTAGGCGCCATGGCATTTAACAGCATTTCATTCTGGCTCATTACCCTGCAAGCACGATAGCCTCGACGCAGGAAATTTACATTTTCGTGACCATCAGTGTGTTGCACAAGATACGATTAACAGATCAGCTGTCCTCAATGAAAAGTCTCTGATTAAAATCTCACATACGAAACATTTCTCCAGCTGATAAACAGCGGCCCGTGCGTGGTGCGAGTGGAGATCAAAGAACATCAAGCTTTCCCTGGTCTCTGTTCTTCCGCGGTAAGCCAAATGGTTGTGGTTGTCTATATTTCACTTTGCGTGCGAAGGACCATAACGATGAGCGCGGGCCGTGGTTCTCACACACCAGACAGGAACGACGATGGAAGCGGTACAGATGTCTCACCGAACCGTTACCTGGGGGCCCGTAAAACAGAACTCCTCGAGGACAGCCGAACTTTTTGAATACTTCCGGATATCGAAATGGAAAGACGATCATCTCTTTCAGTTTCTCAACGTTTTCATGCAGTCCACCAACATCCTTGAAGTCCACGCCAGTGCTGAAATACAGTGGTTCATTGGTTATGATCACATGGATTGACAGCACACTTCTTGAAGCATTCTGCAAGCTGCCTGCCACCCTTGAGCTTCAAAGGTCGTTCATGTTTCAACATGACCATTAAAGTACGTGCTGTACCGCACAGTAACTTGATAGAAACAAAAACACATTCGCCGCTGAGATCAGTTTTCTTTAACGTTGGTGCAATCCCGGCTCGGCACACTGCAGCGTTGTTATGACCATCGTTTCTAAATGAGAATGTCATTTACAAAATGCCATGCAGCACTTAACCACCTACTGTTCACCACCGTCTCAGGTCAGGAAACTGCCTAACATGAAATCAGGCCTCATCAGCAGTTAGCAGCTCCAGGCACTGTCAGGCCATGCAGCTCCGAGCCCCTGCCCCGCGCCTGTGCCGGCGCCTCGCCGCCCTTCTGACGGTCTGCCGGGGAGCGGCACACTCACTCGGTCGTGACAGGCTGCACGGTTCTCGGCGGCTGCTCGTCGCTGTCGTCGCGCTGGCTCGGGCCGGCCACCGAGCCCTGCTGACGAGCCTCCGACCGGCTGCGGCTGCGCTTCTTGCTGGACCAGCCGTGGCTCCTCCGTCGCCGGCGGCTCTTCTTGGCGCCGGGCAGTGAGTTGAGCGGCGCCACGGACGGGTACGAGGATGGGTGAGGACTGCAGGAGGCGATCCGCGTGCTGCTCCGACACCGAGCCCGGCCCCGGCTCAAGTCTGTGGCGCTCTTACTGACCGCAGGATGCTCCGGTGGTTTCTTAGATATTGTCGGCTTCTTTTTCTTTTTTGAACTTGATTGGTGTTTGGTGTGGCAGCGCGTTTTTTGGTGCTTCTTTTGATTTTGGGGCGCATTTTTGCCGCCGTCCAACTTCAGCTGCTTGGAGGCACTCTTCAGATCTGCTCGTCTGAAACATGAGTGACATTTTCCCATTTAGGGCATTGCACGCCTCACCACCTGGTTACCAATGGTAGCAACATATCACACACATGAAACGTTATGGCTTATATAATTTATCAGTTGTAGCCGTTTAACCCAGACTTGAAAACTTAGAATACTTGAGCCATTGATGTAAAGCATGAAGGCCAAATAAAAGTCATGGCAGACTCAAGAAGCTTCCTGATTATCGTCGTTAGTGCTCGTACAATGTGACTGAAGACGACACAACAAAGCTCACGATCGACACAAGTACAGCTCGGAATTAATCACAGCAACAAAATGCCATTATTAGCAAATCGATATAGCCCTGGATATACATATACGTTACATTTACACATGTTTACGCTTTCAGAACTGCGTTATTAGGGCTGATAGATGGTTTGAGTGAATAACGGTCCTCAGTTTTAGATAGCTAGGAAAAAACTAAGAGCCATAACATGCAACAGAAAAAACGAGCGCAATATTTTCCAAGGATGCATCGTAATTTTGCTAAGAAAAAAGCTTAACACTGGTTTAGTTAGAAATTACTCATGAAACAGGCTACATAACGAGTTAAGAGCATTACCTCCCGCGCCGAGATCTGGTCGAACCAAGGATATTTGCTTCGTTTACATTTGGATCTATGTCCTTGTAATGTGAGGGCATTTTGTTGCACAAAAATCAGATCATTCCACCGCAAGACAACTTAAATGAAACTTGAATTTTCCATAAGCTTCCGAAACCATCACATGGTGCCAACCTTGGTAAGTCACACAGCTGTTAAAATGTTCATCTGAAAAATCGACCTCGAGCGCGAAGGCATGCGTTTTCAATTTCGTGAATCCCTCCCCAAAAACAAAACAATTGTAGGAGATAATGCACTGAAAATATTTGTTCGCAGCGGTTTCGGGAAACATCGTCAGGAGAGTCATTATATCACCTCCAATTGTTGTCTCTTACCTTATTTTAGAATGCTGCACTGACAGCGTTTACAAAGCCTGTATTTTCGTAGCTGCCGCAAAACTTCATGAGGCCGCTGTCAGACAGAAACATCTTTGTTCGGCACTGTGTGGTGTCAGCACGCAATGTGCTGCATGTTGTTAGCAGTTGCCCCGGCGAGGTCAAAATGGCATGCCTGGGGTGACAAAATCTGCCCCGTTCCCCCTCTAATTGCATCAAGTAACTCTAGGGACACAAAGTTTTCAGATAATGATACCTAGGTGCTGGCCTCTTATGTGGCGGATCCCATTAGCCATATATCAGGTATGCAGGGGTCAAACAAGGTCAGAATTCAAAAGTCCAATCCGGTCGACGATCACAAACGAAGGTGTTAAATGTCAGACACCAAAACTTGTACGCGGACCAGTGATCAGCTCTTAGGAAGGTAACGCTTGAAGTGCGCATAGTACTGCATAATTTTAATGTAACATATCGTCATTATTACTTCACATTGGCCATTTGTGCTAACAAATAAAGTGAATAATTGATGTAATGATTGGCATAATACAGCTTCGAACTGAATTCTTAACGATGATGGATTTTAAATACAAGGGAGATTTAATATAAGAGAGACGCTTGAATCGCGACGGTTTCCTAATACATTTCCTTCTGATGGAGTTAAGTGTTTCAGATAGCTACGTCTGAAGTCAGGCGCATAGACTGCCACGATTTTCCCATTTGTTTCCGTCCCCGCATGCTGTCGTGGATATCAGGGCCCCTGGAATACGGCGGTGGAGCGAATCTTGGCGGATGAATAACGATTACGGGCCTTTGGAGGGGGTCCAGTCTCCAAATTAGCGGAGAGTCAGTTCACTGACAAACCATTTCCTAAGAATAGGACCAGAAATAGACGTTGCTTCGCGATCGCGTGTCTCCATTCGACAGCAACTGTGCCACACCGCGAGCATCCGCTCGTCGGTGCGGCCGGCCGGCGGTCCCCACGAGCAGATCTGACTTTGCCTGGCTGTAACTCAAAAGGCCGCTGTGCTGGCTTTATATCAACCCGACTTCCCGCTATCTCGACAGGTAGTGCGCTGAAAAGGCTTAAGAGCTGGTTCTGATGTTACTGAGATGCTATTTGATGTTATATTTTGATGTGTATGGAACTGGGATGGCTTTGACCTCCACTATCTTCCAGTTCGCATCCGACGTACAAGGAATTATGCAGGATAAATTTGTCCTGCTAAACGCAAAATGTATCTGGGTTCCAAACATCTATGAAGGATATTTGTTTCGCGCATGTGTAGACAAGTTTACCCCGCGCAGGACAGTCGCACACGAGACGTAAACTGAATAAGATCTATGAAGTGGTAAGCGCTGGTGATGCTTGTGTCCTGATGTTCGGTGCGGAGCCGCCTGTGGTCCTCACATCCACTTGGCGCTGATTTAAAGATCTTCCACCAAAGCGGGTGACGCCAGACCAGTGGAAGTTTACCAGGGACATGGTAATGGTAGCCTTCGCTACGACGTACAGACGGCCGAGTTCCTATCAAGCGCATGCGTTTCCCTCCACACATTTTCCGATCACAAGCGTTGCTAACGGATACCAGGCCTCCCTTCCGGTGCATGGCTTAGCTCGGCCCGACAGCCCCGGCGTGGCGACGAGAGGATGGGCGAGACTGCCTGCTCCTCTGTCGCTGAGCTGAGGCAGTTGGAGCGGAGAGAGCGTGGGAGCACGCGGCAGGGCTCGGCTTTATCGATGACGCGGCCGGACAGCAGGCGGGGCAGGCGGCAGATCTGGCGGCCGGCATGCAGTTTGATATAGGTATGTATCATGACGAGCACCAATACGGGAGCGGCGTCCGCTGTCCACTGCCGAGGACGTGCCGTGCGACATGACACCCTGTCGTCTCGGCGTCCATGTATAGATTGTTTATAACGGCGTGTTTCACTATCGGTGCATGTGTACTTCCGCCTGAGCGGAAAGCGTTACATGGCGTGCTGCATGCCGAGGTGGATGGGATCTTTGTTATACACGCTTTGCGTGCTTGATCTGTTCCCATGGGGCATTAGGAACATCGTGTGCTTAGAATGTGTGAAGGTAGTTTTCACATCAAAGGTCCCAGAAGGTCCCAGGAGGTCCTGGGAGCTAAAGTGGTGATGTAGACATTTCATTACAAAACTTAAGGTGATGGCCGTGCAGGTATTTTCCAAAAGAGTTTTGGAACGAATGGCTACGATGAATAGTTAAGTGTGCCGTTTGTCCAATCATCTGTTGAGTTCGTCAGTCCTGAGAAACTTGTCAGATGATATAAAATTATATCAGACTACCTTGCTTTGAACACGACACTAAAAATGGCAGGTGTTTAAGATGAAATACGGACTTGTTTGCCTTGCAACAAAGGTACAAAACAGCCTTTCCCGAAGGGTGACCTGTTGCTTAGATATGCATGTCATATAATGGTCATGCAGACAGTATTTACAGCCAATTGATTTCGATACGCCCTGTTATGCCCAGCGCAGTATATTCATAAAATCGCATATCGTAGTAAATTTTTGTAAGTTTGGCTTAAATTATACGCATTTGCACTATCACATCATGAAGTGCAATATGTAGAGTGAGAACGTTCAGCGACAAATACGTGTGCGAAGTTCGTATTTAGTGACGCTGGTGTGGAATATTTTCAGGGCATCAGCGTAAGCCGCTTTCGTTGCGCGCATTTGTAAAAAAAGATAGATGCACAAAACATTGTGTGCTAGGGCTGCCAACTAACAACAGTCTGATTCTTGTGAAAATAAGTCTAGTTGGGTTTTATAACCGTACCTTAATCTAACAAAAACCACGCTTTCTGTGAGTACCGTCCGCAAGCATCCTCGCTTTCATTGCGCAGCTATATCACACGCGGTCTAGCCACATGTGCAGGGCTCATATAAGAAAATGCAAACTGTCCCCAGGTGATCTTACATGTCGTCTGCAGCCGATGTTGCTAGTCAGCATTCGGGGCCTAAAATGCGAGGCCTATCGGTAGCTTGAAAATAACTTATTCTTGTCTGGTTCGCCTTTCCAAAAAAGCTTGAAAATGATGCATCCAGTTTCTTTTACCAGCTTAACATTAGGCAGAAAGCTATCAAATGATATGACAATTGGGAGCAGGTTTCGGACATGACCAGGTGAATCCATCCCAAGGACATGAGGGATATTCGCAGTCTGTGATTCAATTTAATCTTGGGATTGCCGATCATTTGACGATTCAATTACAATCAGCAAGACAATTTGTGCTGTGTAGGATGCGCAAAGCGAGAGATGTCAATGCAGTGATGTGGATGATATGACAACCGAAGCAATTGCACCCAGACACCTTTGGAGATATATACAACTGAGTTGGAGTTAAAGACCCATACTTCAGGCGACCGTAAGATGACTTCCATAGCCATTCACGTACTTGAAGACTGTGGCCGAAGTGTCGAGAAAAACGAAAACGTTTTTGTGGATGGGTCCTGGTGATGCTGAACGCTGACGGAAAACGGTCGCAGCAGCCGGCGCGCCATAAACATCACTGATAACCGTCGGTCTCATTCGCCTGGACCATACACCCGTGCAGTTCGCCTCACCCAGCCTCCCTCGGTCTAGGGCACAGCGCGCTGCACGCGATACCGGTGTCGAAAGGGCGGGAGGGACGCTTGTTGGTCAGCTACAGGAGCACAGGCGCTGTTGCAGTTGTCTGAGACGGCGCTGGGACAATGGCCTGTAGCCGTGCACTCGCGCACGCCGCGCCACGTTTCACATCTTTTCCGGTTTCAGTGGCGTATGTGTGTCGTTATTCTTAAAAAAAAACGGTCGATTCGGGGACTGCGTTCGAGCGCGCGTGGCTGGTCGCGCACATCGACCCAGGCATATGTCAGCACGATTATCCGTTCTGTCCTCGGTCAAGCGGTGCTGGTGCCCTGCTGATGCGAAGCCGGCTCGTCAAGACCTGGGGCCTGTTCGAACCCGTGTCGTGCCGCTTCTCGCAATCACCTAATGTTCACGACGACGTGCATCATGACCAACTAAACACTGCAATATGTGTACTGTGCCCATTGAATGGGGAGTGCACATTTCACTCACATGGCAATGCTGCATGCAGTTCACGTCCCATCGAACAGTTTGTGCTCCATTGCGTTTGAACGTCTACAGCCAGCTTCTAGGGGACTGCATCTGCGATCGCTGGTAGCCACATCCCGAAATACGCTGTGGCCAGCGGTTGGAACAATATTGGATGGCAGGAAGCATGACAGCCGGCCGGGCTGCATGACATGACAGACGGGCCGGGCCGGGCCGGTTCGTATGACATGACAGACGGGCCGGGCCGGGCCGGTCCGTATGACATGATGGACGTCCGGGTCGGTACACATGACATGACAGACGGTCGGGCCGGACCCGTCCGCATGACATGACAGACGGCGGGTCGGCCCCGGTCCCGGTCCGCATGACATGACAGACGCATAACTGAAACACTCGTTATGTTTCTGTGTTGTTTGTTAACACTTTCAGATATTGGCAGCTACGATTGCGTGGCACCAATGTTCTTGCGTGACGGGTGTTCGGGTATTATCACAAAATATTACTACAATTTATATGTGGGAATAGCTGCATTGAGCACATTGACTTCGTAGTCGCATCGACACCCATCTACATTGATGTTCAAGTTTCGAGTTTGCTATAGCTACGTCGTCAATGGCGTCCGTGCTTTGTATCACTCTTCACGACACAAGCCAACTGAGGATTATAAAGCATTTACGTGCTTGGGCTGAACTTCTTCACTTCAGGGGATCACGTCTCTTTA